GGGAGCCCGATGCGGGACTCGATCCTGGGACTCCAGGATCATGACCTGAGCCGAAGGCAGTCGCTTAACCAACTGAGCCACCCAGGCGCCCAATGACTCTTTCACTTTTAAAAACTTAACAGGCTTTTATCTGGGTTATCTGGGTTGAGAATGCATTTTTGATTATGCATTCCCTTTGTGTTAATCTTTCCATTTTCTCCTCAAAAACTGTTTTAACATTGACCCATAATATGAAATGATTCCTACAAAATCAGCTTCAAATACAGTGGAAACCTTGGTTTCCTCAACTGAAGCCTTGTCCAAGTAAGTTATCTTTATGTACTGATGCATTTATTTTTTGGGATAGATTCCCAAAGGATTTCTCAGCTGAGGTAAACATGAACTTTAATAAGTTTAATTTTACTTTTTTACAGAGGTATAGTTGACGTACAATGTTACATTGTTTTCAGGTGTGTAATATAGTGATTTAACAGTTCTGTACATCATGCAGTGCTCACCACGATTGGTGTAACTACCATCTGTCACCATACGAAGTTAATACAATATTACTGACTATATTCCCTATGCTGTACTTTTTATCTCAGTGACTTATTCATTTTGTAATTGGAAGTTTGTACCTCTTAATCCCCTTCACCTATTTCACCCATCCCTCTCACTCCATCCCCTCTGGCAACCACCAGTTTATTCTCTGTATTTATGAGTTTTTGTTTTGTTGTGTTTTGTTCATCTGTTTTGGTTTTTAGATTCTGTATATAAATGAATCATGCTATTTGTCTTTCTCTGTCTGACTTATTTCACTTAGCATAATACTCTCTAGATCTATCTACATTGTCACAAATGGCAAGATCTCATCCCTTATGGCTGAGTAATATTCAATTCAACATCTTCTTATCTATTGTTCGTCTAATGATGGACACTTAGATTGCTTCCATATCTTGCTACTGTAAATAATGCTGCAATACACATAGGGGTGCCTATATCTTTTCAAAATAGTGTTTTTGTTTTTTTGGAATAAATTCCCAGTACTGGAATTATTGGCTTATATGGTACTTCTAAGAATTTTGATTTTTTGAGGAACCTCCATACTTTTTTCCATAGTGGCTGCACCAATTTACATTCCCACCAATAGTGTATGAGGGTTCCCTTTTCTTTACATTCTCACCAACACTTGATATTTCTTATTTTTTTGATACTAGCCATTCTGGCTGGTATGAGGTGATATCTCACTGTTGTTTTGGTTTGCATTTTCCTGATGATTAGTGATACTGAACATCTTTTCTGTTTGCCATCTGTATGTCTTCTTCAGAGAAATATCTGTCCAGGTCCTCTGCCCATTTTTAAATTGGATTATTAGTGTATTTTGGTGTTGAGTTGTATGAAATCTTTATATATTTTGGATATTAATCTCCTATCAGTTATATGATTTGGAAATATCTCCTCCCATTCAGTAGGTTGCCTTTTCATTTTGTTGATGGTTTCCTTCACTGTGTAAAAGCTTTTTAGGTTAATGTAGTACCAGTAGTTTATTTTTCTCTTGTTTCCCTTGCCTGAGGAGACATATCCAGAAAAATGTTGCTACAGCCATTGTCCAAGAGATTACTAAGTCTTCTTATTGGAGTTTTATGGATTTGGGTCTTACACTTAGGTCTTTAATCCATTTTGAGTTTATTTTTGTATATGGTGTAAGAAAGTGGTTCAGTTTAATTCTTTTGCGTGTAGCTGTCCAGTTTTCCCAGCAGCATTTATTGAAGAGACTCTTTTCCCATTGTATTTTCTTGCCTCCTTTGTCGTAGATGAATGAGCATATAAGCATGGGTTTATTTCTGGGCTCTGTATTCTGTTTCATTGATCTATGTGTCTATTTTTGTACCAGTACAATACTATTTTGATTATTATAGTTTTGTACTATATTTTCAGATCTGGGATTGTGATACCTTCAGCTTTGTTTTTCTCAAGATTACTTTGGCTATTTGGAGTCTTTTGTGGTTCCATACAAATTTTAGGATTATTTGTTCTATTTCAGTGGAAAATAGTATTGGTATTTTGATGGGAATTGCATTAAATCTGTAGGTTGCTTTGGGTAGTGTGGACAATATTCTCCTAATCCATGAGCATAGTATATCTTTCCATTTGTTTGTGTTGTCTTCAGTTTCTTTCATCAGTGCCTTACAGTTTTCAGAGTACAAGTCTTTCACCTCCTTGGTTAAGGTTATTCCTAGGCATTTTATTCCTTTTGATGCAGTTGTAAATGGGATTGTTTTCTTTTTTCTTTTTCTTTTTCTAAGATTTTATTTATTTGTCAGAGACACAGCAAGAGAGGGAACACAAGCAGGGGGAGTGGGAGAGGGAGAAGCCGGCTTCCCACTGAGCAGGGAGCCTGATGCGAGGCTCGATCCCAGGACCCTGGGATCATGACCTGTGCCAAAGGCAAATGCTTAACAACTGAGCCACCCAGGCGCCCCTATGGGATTGTTTTCTTAATTTCTCTTTCTGCTGCTTCCTTATTGCTGTATAGAAATTCAACAGATTTCTGTATATTAATTTTGTATCCTGCAACTTTACCAAATTCATTTATTAGTACCAGTAGTTTTTGGTGGAACTTTTGGGTTTACTGTGTATACTATGTCGTTTGCAAACAGTGAGTGACAGTTTTACCTTTCCCTGCCAAGTTTGTATGCCTTTTATTTCTTTTTCTTGTCTAATTACCGTGACTACAACTTATAATACTGTGCTGAATAAAAGTGGCAAGAGTAGACATCATTGTCTTATTCTTAATTTTAGAGGAAAAACATTCAGTATTATATTAGCTGTGTATTTTTCATATGTTGGCCTTATTATGTTGATGTATATTCTCTCTAACCCCACTTTGTTGAGAGTTTTTTATCATAAACTGATATTGTATTTTGTCAAATGCTTTTTTTCTGCATCTATCATATGGTTTTTATCCTTCATTTTGTTAATAGGGTGTATCATGTTGATTGATTTGCTAATATTGAACCATCCTTGCATCTCTGGAATAAATCTAACTTGACCATGGTGTATGATCCTTTTAATGTATTGTTGATTTCAATTGGCGATTGTTGAGGATTTTTGCATTTATGTTCATCCAGAATATTGACCTGTAATATTTTTTTAGAATGTTTTGTCTGGTTTTGGTATCAGAGTAATGCTGGCCTCTTAAAATAAATTTGGAAGGTTTCTTTCCTCTTCTATTTTTTGGAGTAGTTTGAGAAGGATAGGTATTAACTCTTCTTTAAATGTTTGGTAGAATTCACCTGTGAAGCCCACTGGTCCTGGACTTCTGTTTATTGGGAGTCTTTTGATTTTTGATTCAGTTTTGTTGCTAGCAATCAGTCTGT